TATTTTCCCATTGATTTTTAGAGAGTGTGGAAGAAAGGGGGAGTGAGAGAGGGAGGGGAAGAGAGAAAGAGGGAGAGAGAGAGGGAGAGGGAGAGAGAGAGAGGTGTTCACCATCAATGCTTTAGGGTGACCTCCAATTTAATGTTGGTGATATGGGTTGACTCTTATCCTCCTGTTTTGGAGTCTAGTTTGTTTGTTTGTTAATCATCACCTGAGGATATTTTCCCATGATTTTTAGAGAGAGAGGAAGAAAGGGGGAGTGAGGGAGAGAGGGAGAGAGAGAGAGAGAGAGATTCACCTGAGAGAGACACGTTGATTGCTTGCCTGCCTCATGCACCAGGGATTGAACCTGCAACCGAGGTATGAGCCCTTGACCAGAATCCAACCTGAGATCCTTCAGTCTGTGGGCCAATGCTCTAAGCACTGAGCAAACTGACTAGGGCCTGTTTTGGAGTCTTAAAGGGGGAGTGAGGGAGGGAGGGGAAGAGAGAAAGAGAGAAGGAGAGGAGAGAGAGAGAGAGAGAGAGAGAGAGAGAGACATTGATTGCTTGCCTGCCTCATGCACCGGGGATTGAGCCTGCAACTGAGGTATGAGCCCTTGACCAGAATCGAACCTGAGACCCTTCAGTCTGTGGGCCAATGCACTGAGCAAACTGACTAGGGCCTGTTTTGGAGTCTTGATCCTGGGGATGGATAACTGGTCATCTCAAAGTTTTGATTACCTTTTTCCCCCCAAGCGAACCCATTCAACCCTGATGCTAGGAGGACTTCCAGTGTCTGCCCCAGGACGTGATCCAAATTAGTTTGGTTCTTTTCCTCCCTCTCACAGTGGATGTGCACTAGAGATTTGATCTAATCTCTGTTTTTCTCACCTACTGTTGACATGACCTTGCCTCTTGGCAAAGAAGCAAACTCTTCGTTCTCCGAGGGGGCGATGAGGAGACTGGCAAAGCTCTCACCACAGAAAGGCTTTGGAGAGGTGCCTACTCGGAAGAGCCTTCAGAGCCAGCTCCTGGCAGCTCTGCTTTAAGCCCTGAGGCAAGGCTTCTGGATATCCTTCACAGCACAACTGTTTCTTTCGGAAAAGATGATTGGATGGGGACATGCCTGTCCTCACCCTTCTACACGAATCTACTGCACAGGACTGTGGAGGCAACAGAGCAGAAGTATGTGACATTGCTGGGTAACTTGCAGAATGCTGAAAAGATGTCAATGGTCAGAACAGTGATTCCCCCTGAGTTTGCGGCTTACCCTATTTCTTCCTCTTAGCCTTGACACACTCTTCCATGCTTCTATTTAATGGTCGTGTCTCTCACTGCGAGTCAATGTGGTATTTGAGTCCCCTCCTATTCCTCTCAGTATCACCAGCTACCCCTGAGGTTTGCACACAGGATCCCGATTTTACAAATGAAGTTCCTGAGGCTCAAGGAAGTCCACAGGGCTAATAAGCTGCAGACATAGGATTTGAACTCGCATCTTTTGATTCCAACTGCAGCGATCACATGGCCTTGACATATGATAGGTGATCACAATATGCCTGATGATGGAGGGAACGAGACAGGGTGGCCCTTGTCCCTCAGCTGCCAGGGACTGGGTCCTTGCAGAGAGCCCCTCCCCAGCTTGTGCCCACAGGGCAGGACTTCCAAGACCACATTTCCCCTGTGAGGCAGAGAGGCCAGGGCTGGGAAGCAGTGGCCTTGCTAGGATCGAAGAGAAGTAGGCCCAGACTGGGGACAAAAACTCAGTCCCGGTTAGGAAAGCACGCCAACCTGCTCTCCTCCTCCTGTCACAAAGGTGTCCAGAGAGCATGCCCACCCCACCGTTCTGCCTCGCCTCCCCCTACCACAGAGCTCCAGGAGAGCAGCCCCAAGGCTCTCCCCACAGCCAGCTCTGTTCTTTTCCATTCTAGACCTTCCCTCAAGTTCTTCCTCTGCCTGGATGCCCTTTCCCTTCTTTCCTCTGAAGAACACATACTCACTGCCCAGCTGGTGTGGCTCAGTGGATGAGCGTCAACCTATGAACCAGGAGGTCACGGCTCGAATCCAGATCAGGGCACATGCCCAGGTTGCAGGCTCAATCCCCAGTCAGGGGTGTGCAGGAAGCAGCCGATCAATGATTCTCTCTCATCATTGATGTTTCTATCTCTCGCTCCCTCTCCCTTCCTCTCTCTATTATATTTAAAAAGAAGAACATGTACCCACATGTCAGCATTTCAGCCCAAAAGCTACCTCCTCTCTGCTGCCTCTTCTCTGCCCTTGTGACCCTTTGATTCCCACATCCATTGCATCCTGCTGTACGCTTGCCCAGAACCCGGTTCCCGCCTGGAATTACAGCGCCGATCACATTGAATTACTACCCCCAGTGACCACAGGAGGCCGAGACAATTTCTTCACAATTTTTCCCAGCACAAGAGGAGATGGATGGGTGTTTGTTGAATGAATAAAGCAATGAGTGGTTTAGGGAAAAGAAAGCTTGCTGAGTACTTCAGTGAATAAACCCTCCTCTTTGACCCTTGCCTTATGAAAACTTTGCCACTGCACACCCTGCCTTCTGGTGATTAGGTGACTAGGCAAGTACTGAATGCATCGGAGAGATCCGCCGGCTGGTTCACAGTAGGACCTGCAGGACCCTGAAGTTGTGGGGAAACAGGAAGCATGCAGGAGGCACAAGGCCAGCAGCAGATGCTGGGCAGTCTGAGGGCAGAGGCCTTGCTGCCAGACACCTCACCTTGAGGCTAATCCATGCTAGTGGTCTTCACAAGCTTTTGCTCATGGAACCCCTAAAAGAATGTTCTACTCTCTTGCACATTTTAAAAGATGACATCAAAAGCTTTTATATGTGCCCTAGCTGGTTTGGCTCTGTGGATAGAGCGTCAGCCTGCAGACTGAAGGGTCCGGGGTTTGATGATTCCAGTCAAGCGCACATGCACATGCCCAGTGGGGGGCGTGCAGCAGGCAGCTGATCAATGATTCTCATCATTGATGTACCTATCTCTCCCTCTCCTTTTCTTTCTGAAAGAGCATATATATATATGCTCTTATATGCTTAAATAGTTGCAAAAGTTGTAGCATCTAATTTTTTGTATGTATTTTAAATACGTTTTGGGCAAAACTTTGAACAGCAAAATCGGCATGTTAAATTTACAGAAAATATCCACACCAAATCAAACTCATCAAATCAGGTCGCCCAATCAGAATTACTGTTAGAAAATATCTACTTCCTTTTCTTCCCAATAAGTGTATTCCCACACACACCCTATCCTCATGATAAGCTCTCACTTCGTGGTAGTTCGAAGGCAGATGGACAAGGCTCAGAGCCCTTGCCAGGCGTGGGAAGCCGAGGTGAAGTGAGACGCGGTCCATCTCCGTTTGCCTGGCTCTCCCTCCGGAGCACTGTGTTCTGAGCTCGGCCCTTTGCCTTCGCATGTGGCCAGGAGATCTCTACGCGCCATGTGACATGGTGTGCCCAGCTCAGTGAGAAGTTTGTCTTTCCTTCCTGAAGCAGAACTCAGATGAGTTCTCGTGCAAAGGAAAGTGTTGGAAAGCAGTTCAAATTAAAGTTGAGGGGCTGAAAATTAATTCCCTGTAATGCTAGCTATGCCATGTGCCCTGGCAGTCTGCGGGCACTTTCACCTGCACTGCCGAGTACAATGCCTTCTAGGTCCTGCCCTCACATCCCAGCTGCCCCCTTCTCAGGGGCTCGCTGTTCCCCCTCTGGCCCCCCTGACCACTACTGCGGCACCCATTCAGGCTCTGCTCACCAACCCTCTGCCTTCAGAGCCCAGGCCCCAAATTCCTGATTCTCACCACCTTCCCTGGATTCTGAAAAAACTCTATGACTCCAGGGAGAGGGGTTTGAAGGAAGTATTAAATGGGAAGATATTAATATTATGAAGGTATTCGTGAACCTGCCCAAGTTTTAAGATAAACCTGCCCAAGTTTTAAGGTAGTGCTTGTTTTTTGTTTTGTTTTGTTTTTCAAAGAGAAACTTATTTACAAAACGAAGTCTCCCATTGGGTAGAAATTTGGGCGAACCTAAGAGAAGCTATGGTCATTGGGAAGGAAATAGTCCGGGTGATTCCAAGCCAGTTTCAGACCAGTTTTGATCACTGAGCTGGAAAGCAGTGACTTGTTAAGTTGCATTCCATATTTTAAATCTGCAGGAGTGCTACCCAGGGAAATGTCCTCGGGGTCCGTTAGCTGCGTGGAGAATGCTGCAGCGCCAGAGTGGGAAGGACTGAGACCCAGACAAACCTGACTTAAGTCCCACTGTCCTTGGGAACTGCAGCAGATCCAAGTCTTTGGAGGTAGTCCTCCTCTCCTCTGCATCTCAGATATTTTTTAATCAGTCGGTAGAGATAGCTATCCCAAGTGCAGGGTAGTCCCATGTGATCCGGGCAAGTAGACTCAAAAACAGAACTGGGATGCTAGAGGTCATTTCAGGTCACGCTGCCTACACCTGAGACTAAAGCCATCAAATTGTCAGAAAGAGAAAGACTAGATCCACGATGCTGCTGCGTTTACTCAGACATGTGGTAAATTTGGAGAAATTTTCTCTTTAAGCCTAAGAAGACTCTTGCTTTCCAAAACAAGCCAGGAAAATAGATTTCTGCCACTTGACCTCACTAACTCAGCAAACAACGCTGTGAAGCAAATCTGTCTCTCTGAACATAGATGTGCAGATTGCCAGAAAGAGCAGCCAAAATATACCTCTTGGATTCCACTGTAACCGTGACATTCAAACGACCTGACATACAGCACTGGAGTTCAGACAGAATTAAGAAAACCTGCCCTTGCCATCAGAAACAGGAATGACTATGAAGAACCTACTCCCCCCTCCATCCTTAGTCCTTATTTTCATCATAAACAGCAGGCTAATACACATCGGCTCCTTCTCGGTGTCTGGGCGGGGCGGGGGATCTTGTTTGCAAACACGAACAGCCATTGCTTTGTTCTCTCGGGAGAAAACAGAACACTAGCAATCAAAGCAGAGCTACGTACCCAGGCCTGCTGCCGCAGCTGCTCATAAAACCGCCTGTCGTTCCTCCGGCAAGCCAGGGCGCCCGACACTTTTGGATCCTCGCTCGGCCCCTGCTCCTCCGAGCAGTGCTGCAGGTTAACTCCTGGAGGCTGGAGGCTCTAGCCAAGGAAGCCAAAAGCTTGCCAACTTACCTAATTGCCTGCTGACTCACTCACGGGGCAGGACGAGCTCCAGCTGAGCCTGCTCCTGGGCGAACCCCTGCACCATCCTTGGAAGGTCACACCTGAAGTCCATCATTTTGCACTTGCACGGACACAGCCTGCTTCTTACACGGACCTGGTTCATTTATTTCCTTCCACAGACCTGCTTCTCCTGATTTGGAAAATGTGAAATTCTTTCTCCACCACATCAGCGCCACACCGCTGAGAGGAGACTTTGCAGGACAAAGCAGCAGTGAGCTGTGAGGACCATTTTGGATGAATGAGTTAAGCCCGGGAGAGGGCATGCCCCTGATTTTCTAGAAAGGCTGTAACTCGACGAAGATAATTGATCACACATGGTCATCTTGGTAGTTTGGGGGAAGCAAATAAAAGAGTGTTTACATTTTCGCTGGTATCCTTCTGTGGCAAAAATCAAACATCAATCCCTGCAGTATTGCAGTATTACACGATATCACAGTATTAAAACAAATCACATGATTACTAGAGTCCCTAGAGCAGCGGTTCTCAACCTGTGGGTCGCGACCCCTTTGGTGGTCGAACCACCCTTTCACAGGGGTCGCCTAAGACCATCCTGCATATCAGATATTTACATTACGATTCATAACAGTAGCAACATTACAGTTATGAAGTAGCAACGAAAATAATTTTATGGTTGGGTCACAACATGAGGAACTGTATTTAAAGGGCCAGAAGGTTGAGAACCACTGCCCTAGAGGGAAAGTTCAAACTTCTAACCCTTTGGGGCCCAGATTAGCAGGTACCAAAGTCAGGGAAAAGAATGCAAAGACTGTTTGTTTTCTTAATATATTTTTATTGGTTTCAGAGAGGAAGGGAGAGGGAGAAAGTTAGAAATATCAATGATGAGAGAGAATCATTGATTGGCTGCTTCTGCACGCCCCACATTAGGGATCAAGCCCATAACCCGGGCATGTGCTCTGATCAGGAATCGAACTGTGACCTCCTGGTTCATGGGTCGATGCTCAACCACTGAGCCACGCCGGCCGGGCCCAAAGACTGTTAATATTTGATCCGTTCTTTGAATTCCATGTCATTCCACTGATGTCACTTGCAGAAAGCACAGAAGCCTAGAATTTCTCAAGAAAGCTAGTGGCACTTTTCCAGTTATTGGTGAATTGATTAGAATAGCAGACACCATCCTAGGGCAAGTCCTTGGTTTTCTTTAGGCCATAACAGAGTCCACTCTGGGACTCCCAGGGAAAGAGCAGGTGGGTGCAAGGCAGGGAGCAGTGGTACAGGTGTCTGGGAGGAAACACACTGTTGCAGGCAGGCAGGGTATAGACAGGGAACTGTGGGAAACTGGGGTTACAGGGTTCCTGCCCAGGCTCCCTCTTCCTCCCACTGACCGGAGCTGCAGAGTTGCCGGCTGAGGTTTATTAGCTACTAATTGGGCTCCAAGGCTCTTCTACCTGGTTTTGCTCCTTCTGGACACCAGAATCTTGACTATAATGGTCAGGCAGTAATATCCATTGCCTACTATTGGCCAGGCATTCTGTTAGGTTTTGATGATAGAGTAGTGAACAAAAGTCCTTTCCTTCATGACGCTTCCATTCTAAATGGAGAAAGACAAACAAAAAATAAAATGAAATATAATTTCCTAGGCTATAAGTGTTAAAAGGAAGAATAAAGCGAAATAAGAGGTGAGAGGAGGTTGTTTTACATAGTATAATCAAGAGGTCCTCTCTGATGGGGTAATACCTCAGTAGATACCTGAAGAAAGTGGGAAGAAAGCATACGTCATGCTTATACCTGGGAAAAAGCATCCCAGGAAAAAGGAATAACACATCAAGGTCCTCAGATAAGAGTGTGTTTGGTGGTTTGAAGGAAGAAGAGATGCCTAGGTTAACGTAAGCAGAGAGGGCAAGAGAAGGAGCCATTGGAAATGTGGTCAAGGTATGTGCCCTGGAGGTGCAGGACATGGAGGTCAGGAAGGCCTTACAGATCAAGGTCAGAACTTTAGGTTTACTCCAAATGAGAGATGGGAAGTCATTGGAGAATTTTGAGCAGAGCAGTGGTACAATCTGTTCTTTAGAAAGCTTCCTCTACTATTTATCACCTAGACTTGATGAGGAACACATACTGCCAAGAGGCAAGTTTAAAAGCAGGGAGACTAATTCAGAGCATTTTGTAATATCCAAGCAAGAGACTGGGACTAGAAGGCTAGAAGCAGAGATGATATGAAGTGGACTAATACGGATGTATTTTAAAGGTAGAGCCAACAGGATTTCTCATTGGGTTTAGAAGGACGTGTGAGAAATAAGAGTCGATCAGCAGATGAAGGGATAAAAAAACTGTGGTGCATTTACACAGTGAAATACTATGTGGCTGTAAAAAAGAAGAAACTCTTACCATTTGCAACAGCATGGATGGACGTGGACAGCATTCTGCTAAGTGAAATAAGCCAGTCAGAGAAAGATAAGTATCACATGATCTCGCTCATAAGTGGAATCTAATGAACAAAATAAACTGATGAACAAAATAGATCCAGAGACATAGAAGCATGGAACAAACTGATGAATTTCAGAGGAAAGGCTGGGGTTGGGGGATGGGAGGGGAGTGATTAACTGGGGAACTTACAAGAACACAGACAATAGTGTGGTGAAGGCCTGGGAGGGGGTGTGTGGGGTAGAGGGGGTCAATGGGGGAAAAACAAAGGGGACATCTGTAATACTTTCAATAATAAAGATAACTGTAAAAAAAAAAAAAAGAGTGTCAAGGATGATTCCAAAGCTTTCTAGACTGAAGAACAGGTAGAGTGGAGTTAGCCTTGGCTAAGATGAGGAAGAGAGTGAGAGAAGTAGGTTTGGTTCAAGAGAAGCAAGCATTGGGCATCTCTGCAAAGGAATTCTGGAGGGATTCTTTAGCTCAAGACCTTATAAAAACAACTTGTTGAGATTGGGTGGGAGATAGCTAAATCTGCAAAGACAATGACAGAAAAAAGTGTATCCCAAAGGGTGATAGGTTTCAGGTGGTTCAGAGTAGACACTTTATAATTAGGTATTGATTTTGTTGTGAATTAGAAATATAAATTATAGAGTGAGGCTAAACCAAATTTTAAGGACTTTATTGGAAGAAAATGCTACATAAATAATAGTACAGTGATAAATAGTTATGAGGAAAATCTTGTTAGCTATACACTAATGGATTAACTTTGAGGAACACGAGTGTACAATTTAATATGGGATTAATTTAAGTATCTTTAAAGGCCAGTCTCTGAGAAGTGAAGCCTTAGCCATTAAATCTGCTGATTCATCCAAACTATTATTCATTTACAGTTAGCTCATTGTCTTCTATGATGTTTCACCACATTTCTTTTTCACATGAGGGCTACTCAGGGGCAGTGAGTCCTATACCAAAGGCCAAAATTAGCATCTGTAGATTACTCTCACTGGGTGTTCATATGTAATTGCTCAAAGGTTACTCCCGTTGGAGTTCTTATAATTTGGTTGATTTCTAGAGAAGATGTGCTTTCCTTCATGAGTTGTTGCCTTCACCCCCTGTCTTCTGAGAGTTGAAGGTTGTAGTAGCTCTGCTTTCAAACTCCAGCAAGTGACCCCATTAGAGACCCATGTGGCTCCCAAGACACCAGTCATCTTCCGTGCTCCAGCTGACAGTGTCTGGTGGGAAGAAGCCCTTCCTGATTAAGTGAAAACAGGAAAGAAGTTATCCCATGAGCCCCAGAACATGACCCTTGCTATGCCCCCCTCTTAATGTATATAAGCCATTTACATTTAACCCTCAAACAGCTCTATAAAGCAGCTATTATGCTACCAATTTCACAAATAAAATAACATCTAAAGCTCAAGTAGCCGCATGTCCAATGTCACCTAGCCCATAAGTAACACAACTTATTTTCTGATCCTTAGTTTTTCAACCTGTTCAATGGCACAATAAGCATTTTGCAGGGTTACTTTATTATGCAGTTGTGTTTCCTTCCTGGCTGTCCTCATCTAACACCCAGGATAACTTGAGGAAAATTAAGTGATTGCTATTTTAATTAATGATAAAGCTTTTGCCTTGCTAAAATGAGATATGCAAGCTGAGAGAGGTTTGGAGAGAGAATATGGAAGAGAAACCTGTGTTGATGAAGAGGCTGCAAGAGGAGGTTTGGGGGAGGCAGAGAAGCCAGGGGGAACTTGAGGAAGAGGGAGGGTTCTGATGGGGAAGTCTAATTTTGTTTTGTTTTTAATACATTTTTATTGATTTCAGAGAGGAAGGGAGAGGGAGAGAAAGATAGAAACATCAATGATTCTCTCTCATCATTGATCGGCTGCCTCCTGCATGCCCCTTACTGGGGATCAAGCCTGCAACCTGGGCATGTGCCCTGACCAGGAATTGAACCATGTCCTTCTGGTTCATAGATCAACCACTGAGCCACGCCTGCTGGGCTCTAATTTTGTTTTTGTAGAGTATTGGTATAATTCCTTAAATGTTTGGCAGAATTCACCAGTGAACTCAACTGGGCCTCAAATTTTATTTTTTTTTTACTTCCACTTTTGATAATGTGTGATAGACTCTATTTCCTCAAGGTCACCCTGATACTGGTAATGCTGTTTCTTGACCTGGGGGCCAGTTACTTCGGTACTTTCAGCTTGTGAAAATTAATCTGTATGTAATGCTTCAGTTGCGTTTATAAAAATATTTTTACCCCGTATGTCTGGCTCAGACTAACTGAAATAATAAGGGACGTTAGTGACTCACATAATTCCAAGGAAGGCAGCTGAGTGGCTACTTCAGCATCCAATGAATCATTAAGGACCCAGTTCCTTCCCGTGTGTCAGTGCAAGTTCTGGGTCTTGTGTCTACACAAAACCTTACCCAGAGGAAGGGGGTCTTTTCATCCATGAATCTCTTTTAAAGATCAAGACAAATTTCCTATAAGCAGGTCTGGTAATTTCTTAAAAATTAAACATTTATCTACCCTATGACCCAGCAATTCCATACCTGGGTATTGACCCATTAGGAATGAAAACATATGTACATGCATACATGCACATACACGCACACATACTTGTGTGTGCACATACACACAGAGAAAACATACACAAGAATGTTCCTAGCTGCTTTATTCATAATATTCAAAACTTAGATATAGTCCAGGTTTTAATCTATAAGAGTGGAGATAAACTGTGGTACACTTATTCAACAGAATACTGCTAATAAGAAAAAAGGAATAAATTATCAATATATACAACATGGATGAATCTAAAAATGTTATACAGAGTGGAATAAGCCACACACAAAGAGTACATACATAATACATGGAGAGGGCGGGGGTGGGAGATCAATGGGGGAAGGGTGGATACAATAGGTGTTTGTATCTGGGGGTGGAAGGGTGACGGCTGGCAAGGATTGACTGGGAAGGAGGTGGAAAGGAACTTTCTGGGAAGATAGTAATGTTTTTGTCATGACAGGTGTTTGAGTTACACAGATGCATGTGTTTGTCAAAACAGAAAACATACACTTAAGGTTTATGTATTCCTTTGTCTGTAAATTTCACCTAGAAAAAAACTGTGAACAAATTTTGAATTTTAGTTAATGGTATTAATATCAAAGTATTTAGGGAGAAGTGAACTGATATCTGTAATTCACTTTGAAATGCATTAAAATAAGAATAATTGGTTAGAGCATTGGCCTGTGCACCAAAGGGCCGAGGGTTTGATTCCCAGTCAAGGGCAGGTACCTGGGTTGCAGGTTCGATCCCCAGTAACTCTCCCTCCCTCCCACTCTCTCTAAAAATCAATGGAAAAAATATCCTTAGATAGGATTAACAAAAAATAAAAAATTGATACATGGATAAAAAGATAAACAAATGGATTGATATGTGATAAAGCGAGTTAATAAAATAATGATTGATACTGTATGTGTTCTTATTGTAAAATTCTTAAAAATTTAGTGTACACTTAAAATTTTTCATAATAAAACGTTAGAGGGAGAAAAGGTTTGTACAAAAAGGGTTTCAAGGCCAAATAAATTTAGGAAGTACTAGCTTAACAAAATGTAAGTAGATTCCTTTAAGGAGAGATTTATTACAGCCTTAAATATACTGATACAAATGCTGAACTTACGTGTGTGTGTGTGTGTGTGTGTGTGTGTGTGTGTGTGTGGTGTAGAGAGAGAGAGAGAGAGCTGGGCAACAGAGAACTTCACGTTGTTCTGTACCCAACATCCACCTGTCCTGCGGGGCCACTACCCAGGAACTCTGTCCCCTGGGCTTCAGCCCCATTCCTACCAGCTCGTTTCCCTTCAGTCCTGAGCTTAGGAAGCAAGCTGCTGTACATCAAAACAGAAACCAGCAGGTCTTTCTAGTGAGCTTGGCTGCCTTTCCTGCTCTGACCTTCTAACACCAGTAAAAAGACTGCCATTAATTCCTCATTTTTTGTCAAATGAGAAAGAAGTGGATTTGGGCCCTCTCCAAGAAAAAATGGATTTCCTAGGGCTTGAGCAAATTCATTGTTGCTCCTGATTTTAATTGGTGATTAAGCCCTGAACATCTTGAGAAATTAAACCAGTTTCCTAGCCCAGATCTACAGAAAGCCAAATTGTCACAGTTCTCCACTCTCACCATGTGTTACAGTGACATTTCGGATACTTCCCCATCTAATTTTGGTGACTTTTTGTTTGAATTTACTCTCGGCGAATGCTAATAGCATGTAGGGGTTGTGTGTGCCGAATACATTGACATTTTCTCTCCCAAAGGAAGAACTATCGCCACCGCCACCCTCAACAACTTGTGCGGTGTGTTGGACACAGTTGGTTCAGAGGACTGTGAAGAACAAGGAACACCACCTCCGGCTACATGCCTTGCTTCAGTCGCTCTGCCTTCAGGTGCTCAGGACCCAGGAGCCTCAGGGGAAAAGCCTCGTTAGGTGACCTCGTGGGCAGGGGATTCTGAGTGTCCACTGTGAGCTGCCCGGGAAGGGACAACAAGCTCTGTGCAGGCATCTGGGGTCCACTCACGAGCCCAGGAATGGGCTCCAGCATCCGGGGCCAGCGACGCTTCCAAAGCCAGCACTGTGCCAGCAGCACTCATTGGACACGATTCCTTTTCAAGCCGTTTGCTTTACATGTTCACCCCTGGAGCCTGTGGAGAAACAGCTAGCAAACGCCTGCAAGCTCATCTGCCCGCCTCTGGTATGAAGCCTGCAAGGCTTGCTGAAGCGTGTAAGGTTGCCTGCTATGCTGGGAACACATTGCATCCTCACTCCTTACCGCTGCCAGGGCCCTATCACAGCCTAACACCAGCCAGAGGTCAAAGGCTCCCTTGGCCAAAAGGCTTGTGATAAACAAATGTTCCATAAGCCTGGCGATGATCTGATTGTGGCCTCACAGCCAACAATTTCAGAGAAGCCTTCAAAACAAACACTCATTGAAACAATCAGATCGCGCTGAAACATTCTAGGAGCATTGCTACACATCCCCAGTGGGAAATCCAACATGTGCCTTTCCGTGGTCATAGGCTCTTTAGAGAACGCATGGAAGACACTGCTTTGACTGAACCCTGTCTCCCCTTCCCTCTCATGCTAATTCCATTAGCAGAAAGCAATTCAAACGGTACCAGCTGCTCCATGTGCCAACACAGAGCTGGCCAGGGGAGCAGACTCCAGGCACCGATAAACCATGGTAGCCACGTGTTTCTGCTTCATTGCTACCCTGGCTTATTATCCAAGAAGACTGTGTCATGCTATTTCAGCATTGGCCAATACTTCAAACCACCACTGCGCACACACATCAGATGTTCAGAATACTAGAGCAAGTATTTTACCGAGGGTAGTAAGGTGTCAATAGGTCCAGACTACTGATCATACATACTCAGAAGTTCAAATACAGGCCGAGTCCAGGTGTGGTTTCTTAACCCGGCCTAGCTCTCCCTTTCTGGCTGAGGCCAGAGTTTGGATTGAGACTTCTTCCTTGGCTCCCAGGGGCCTCGTGTTCATCTTTCGCTCACATTCCTCTCTATAAAGACAGTGGTTGTTTACTGAGCACTTAACTTGCATGCAGGCCTCATCATCGTCCCACCTTACACAGAACAGGTAAAATCCCTATTTTTGTGAGAAAAGTGAGGCTCAAAGAAACCTGGCCAAAAATAGTGCCTACAAGCAGCAGAGTTTGGATTCGAACCCACTTACTTCTTCTGAGCCTCCAATACAAACTCTAATGGATATGCCATACTTAGCCCACTTTCTCCTGGGGTGTCTTCTTCCCCCAGGCAATTACTCTCATTCTTCATGAGAGTAAACAACGGAGCCGCTCATCATTGATCCTTTCAACTAGCAAACCTTTCCTGAAGGTTTAACACAAGTTACACAGAAATAAGTGCTTACTAGTAGCTTCTTTGTAAGTATCCAGTCCCCAAGTCTTTTTGGTTCCTACAAGCAAGCAGATACCTACACGATCCACTGTGGTCTCGAGAGTCCGTAGTTCTCATAGTTGCATGGTTTTTCTTCTCAAGTGGCACAAAGGTAGATGGTAACACAGATTTTAAGGGTTTCCAATCGAGAAAGCATGAAGTTCTTCCTAGAAATGAGATGGATTTAAAAAACAAAGAACAGTTGGTCCTTCATATCCTTGGATGCAAAGGGCTGACTATAAGTCATAGTTCTATGAAGATTTTTCCACTGTTGCAGGGAAAACCCCAAGTCATTCAAGATTCAACTGTAAAAGTGCACTCACACTGAAGTTTAGAGTAGGTTTTAAGGAATCTCAAGAGAAAGGAAACATCATTATCTCAAAACAAACAAACAAACAAAACACACACACACACACACACACACACACAAAGAAAAACTCAGTGATGAAATTCTGAAACGGAGCCTCTTACCTTGCTTTAATGATTTCATGTAGGACTTCCATGAACAATGTGAACACATTAGAAATAGCCACTTATTTTTTTAAGTATCAGTTTTATTAAAAAGTGCATTTTGATTAATTTACGATCTAGGTAAGCTGTTAAGATATCAGTATACTCTCTGGAATAATAACTTTACAAAGATTTAAAACAAACCAAATTTTAAAAGCCTTTTTATTTCCTTCACCATTATTGTTTTACAATACAAATATCACCTTGTGAATACACACACAAAAAAACAACCCTACGGAAGATAATTCTGCTGCACGTAAAATACAGAATGGATATATATAATTCTTCATTCTTAAAAAACTATTTTGTTCTCCACATTGGCAAGTATAGAATAGAATACTTCCCCAAACATCCTTTTGTTAGGAGCAAAACTTAGAATTACATGCAGTTTCTGCACAAATATATTTTAAAGAAATAGATCTCTTTTTTGTTGTTCACCAACAAAATTGTCATGAGAGTATGGATAACTAATTTATAGCTTTCAAGTTTTAGTTAAGTGATCATTTTCAAAACTCGCTTTTTAAAAAAGAAGTATTCATGGCTGTTTTCACTGTAGAGTTAAAATTGAACCACCAAATAGGTAAAATAGTGTAAGTGGGTCATGTCGTTGCCGCAGGCTCACAATATGAGAGACGGCTCTGACTTTCTGATTACCCGTCCCCCCCTTCCCCCAGTCTGTAATTCAGAGCAACTGAAAAGCCATAAGCAGTCTTCTGATTTAATTTAGCTATAAATGCAAAATTTAGTAGTGTATACATACATTTATATTTTCATGGAATACTTTAAATAAAAACATTTTTTTAAGATTGCCTACTGACCATACAATCAAGACAAGAAAGGCACTAGAAACATAGACAAATTTCTCTCCCAAGAAGCATTTTTAAATTTTAACTCTCTTCTCTTTGACATGTAAAAATCTTGAAATTTGGTTTTCATAACATCATTTGAAAAATAAAGTTAGGAAATACTTAGAAAATCACTTTATAACAGAATCTTTTTTTTTTTTTGCACTTTTTGACACACTGTCTCTGCTGATTTTACAAAACCCAAAGTTACTAAACCTTTCTGTGTCTGTCATTTTTATTTGACTATCGGTGCAACAGGTAGAAAGATTTCAGAATCAGACCCCATTCAGGTACTTAGAAACCTTCATAGAGACATTTGCTAGAAAATGGCTTACAGCCCAATCTTTGGGGCAAGAGATATGAAAAGTATGTTTTCCCAAGAAAAATAATACGCTTTATTTCCAGATGTGACTGGAAAAAACAGAACTTAGGATACAAAAGCTTACATTTATGCTGTTGCATCATATACAAAGGAACATGGTGGTTGTGGGTTATGTAAATCCGAGACTTATGAACAGGAAATGTGTACAGTGCATGATAGGTTAGATTTTCTTTATTGTTGTCCAACGCAGGTCCTTTGGAGAGAAAAAGAAGATCACAGTGCTGACCAGGTAACTCAATAGGTTAAGTCAAGGTAACCGTTGAAAGATAGTGGGATTAGGGAGGTGTTTATTTTATGGCATCTTCTCTCGTGGAGTTCTTAGCACTTCGGACAGGTCCTCGTTCCCCCACTTTGCACAGCTGTTATGTGTCATTCACCAACCGGCTGTATTTAACAGGCCTACTGAGGTGGACTACTGGCCAGGGGAAGGGCCAATGGTAAGATCGAGGTACAATTCCTTGGACATTCTTTTCAAAGTACTGAAATGGCTTGTACCACCACACCCGGGCCAAGAGGTTCATCTGGGAAGCTTCTTTGAGCACCTAAGACAATAAAGAAAGGAAAGACCAAGTCAGTAAGAGCAACTAACTTGTTCCAGCCCCAAAGGGAATATACGTATTTTTCTCATGACCTTTCACTTTAAGATCAGTTTTTTTAATATTAAAATGCACAAAGGGCCCCAGACTGGCTCCATGTCCACCCTCACCCCAGTTTCACAGTCACACCACCATTCTACACTTGGCACTCATCTGCACACTGGGAAACACCTAGTAGAAAAACAAGTCACTCCAATTCCAGGAGTGCAAGGAAAACCTGTGGCTTACTCAGCCTCTTGTCTAGAAATAAACACCTCAATTAGCTTTTTAGTTACTCTTCTACAATGAAAATGGACAAACTTAATGTTAAATATTAAGCTGGTGAGGGGCCAAGGGTAGGAATGCAAATCAAGCAACAGGTGGGCACAAGTTAGTAAATATTTTCAGGGACAATGAGAATGTGGTATTTGTTTAACAGGATGCAATCTCCTATGCCATTATTAACACATTTCTTGGTCATTTTTTATTTTTAAGTGGATCAACATCACAAAAGATAACATAGTCATAGTTGACTATCTCTTAAGAAAAGAGAAAACTAAGGCATCTGTAGATCCTTTGTACTATTCCCCTGCCACGTCAGTAACACCAACCCAGGAGCAAAAGACGCGAAAATCAAATGGGGGAAAGCTCACTTGCTGATTGGCCATAGTGTGGTACCACCAGAAGAGTCTTGTAGTGATGTAATATGCCACCACCACGTCCACAGTGTAGTGGTCATGCGCTAAGAGAATACAGAAGATTCCAACTACGCTGAGAAGCCAGCAAATCCAGTGATACCACCAGAGTCGTCGAGGGGAATCTGAAGAGAGGAGAAATTTGCAATAATCCCACTATTCAAGTACCACTAAGGGCACCCAATCACACCTCTACCACCAATGTGAGTGCAATTTCCTCATGTCCTTCCTTCTGCAAACCTCTTGGGCTATCAAATCTTTAGCTTATCTGTAACCAGTGTTAGAATAGGAGCATCTTACTTTATAAAGCGTTTTTACTAGCAATAGTAATTCATATTTGTCTGTTATTTGACTCATACAGTCATAAATATAGTTTAAAAGGACAAATAAGGACAGGTTAATGTATCACGATCCATTTTTTTAAAAAGCTGTTCTTGGACAGTTAATTTACATGTAAATAATTTGGGGTTAATTCTCTATACAAAATCAATCCTTTCAGTCCATAGATCTTATACATGGATTAATTATAATTGATATGACTGTCTTATTTGCTTTCCAGTCTGTGCAACTATACACTACTCTGAGTCTTTGAGATTTCCACCTTCTCAAATACAAATCAGAGAAAATCCAAATGCCTGGGAATTCCAGTCCAAGTGCATTCCCAGCGGTAGGGCAGTGACAGATACTAAACACTGTCTGTGCCTCCACTGGAAAATCACCTGAGGGAAGCACCAACATCTTCATTAGTGTGGGCCTGTCAGCCTTGTTTTCTCAATAGATGGTCTGAAATTCTAGGCAAGAAACAGTTTGAATGTGGTCTACCTGCCCTCCCCATTCCAGGGGAGAACTTTCAGGATTTTATTAGGTTCTCAAGGGGTCCAAGAATCAATCGCTCATTCATTCAACCAATATTTATTGAGCATGTACAATGTGCCCGGAATGAGAACTGCTCTAGGCACCGACATCAATGTACAAAACAGGCAAAAAGCCTGCCTTTGTGGGGAGATCCCTTCCCAGTAGGGAAGAGAGACAATAAAAAATAATTATAATAAATAAGAAAATTATATACTATGTTAGGGGTCTTAAATGCTATGGAAAAATAAAGTTGAATAGGATAAGCAGGGTCAGAAGGGTGAAGGGTGGTTTGCAATTTTAAATGGAGGGTCAGGGTAGGGGTCTTAGTGTATGTATTATTCCATTTCCAGGAAAATTTGTATTTGATACCTTAACAACATAGTAACAAATATTCATTCTTCATGCAACACTATTATAAGTGTCCATCTATTTTAGTTTTTAGCTCCTCTCCCTCACCCATTATATATCAGTATCTCATTTTAAAGATTTAGAAACCAAGACTTAGAAAGGTTAAATGTTTTTCCCAAGGATTCAAAAATCAGTGTTTGTGACCCAATATAGCACATTGCTTTATTATCTTCCGGAAGGATAAGGCTTAATCCCATTAAAGGATTTCAGGTACCAACCAGCAGGGGCCAGAAATCCCTCTTCCAGGCCCACTGACGTCAGACCCATTTTGTTCCCATTTTCTGAGCCCAGTTACAACCTAGTACAAAGGCTTGATCACGCCCTGACAATTCTGAATAGACATTGTTAGAATTCGCTCTATTTGGTCAGTGCCCCGAAGCCCATCTTCTCTTCTTCTGTTGTGTCCCCTAGCTTAGTTTTTCTTAAGACCAAACCTGGGCATTCACCCTTCATTCTACCACCTGTCTTCTGAACCTCCACAATCAATCTGACGACCCTTCTTGGTCAATCTCCCTCTGGTCCTTCTACTTCTCTCCATCTCCAATGCCATCTGGTCGTCTGAGCCACCACCATCCTGTACTGGATTACAGCAGCAGACTCCTAACTTTTCTTCTGGTCTCCAGTCTCCTCCCTCTCCCATCCATCTTGCAAGCTGCTGCCAGAGTGGTTTCTCCCTCCAGAAAGGATAAGGTGACACTGCCCCACTGGGACAAGCCGTCAGCAGGCACCCCATCTCTGACCGATGGGAGGTCAGATTCCTTTTGGTGGCTCACGGCATGCTCCGGGACTGGTTCCTACTTACCAGTTCATTCTCACTCCTCATCAGTACCCCCACTCTAAATTCCAACCACGTTAAGCTTCCAAGGGGCCACGCCATCCCAAGACATCCCTCCTGCAATGTGTGTCCCTCCTCTGTGATATCAGCAACCTGGTTCACTTGTCACTCTATCATGGAACTGCCTGTCGAAGGCTCACTGGGACTGTTCCTAACAGTAAAATATTGAACACAACTGACTTTTCTACAAGTAGATAAATGAAAAAATGTAATCTGTGGTTCATGTGTAGTACTGAAATATAAATAGCAATTAAAATGAACTAGAGTCTCATCTCAAAAACACCCCTGAGAGAAAAGTGGCATGATACCATTTATGTAAATTTTAAAAACCAGAGAATAATATAACACACAAGTACAAAAACATGCATGGAAATGATATAGGAAAATGGGAGGGGGGAAGGGATGAAATGGATTAATCATATGTGAACACTTTATTTGCTTTTGTGTTTCATAATAAAATATTTTAAGTGCATTTTTTATAGGAACTTTCCCATTTAGTGTCTGCCTCCTTTAGTGTTCCTGAGCCCATGGCCTCTACGATCATGATCCAAAGACATCACTGACCCATCACTGCACCCTCAGCTTAGAGCAGTGGTTCTCAACCTTCCTAATGCTGTGACCCTTTAATACAGTTCCTCATGTTGTGGTGACCCCCAATTTCATTGTTACAAATTGAACATAAATAAAGCATAGTGATTAATCACAAAAACAGTATGTAATTATATATGTGTTTTCCGATGGTCTTAGGCGACCCCTGTGAAAGGGTCGTTTGACCCCCAAAGGGGTTGCGACCCACAGGTTGAGAACCGCTGGCTTAGAGCATAGTGTCAGGTGCTTGGAAAAATGGCTACTGAGTGAACACATGATCTTCCATCATCCAGTTAGCCAGGCCCAATACTAGATTTCTGTGTCCTGGAGATTTCCTTCTCATTCCTTCCAGCGGTTGTCACACCCCACAACACTGCAGATGACACAGAAGGAAACAAGACACTCCAGCCAAGAAGAGCAGTTACTCCCTCCCACACATATTCCCCGGTGCCTGCTGTCTGTATGCAGGCAAGGTGGTGAGATGAGGCACTGCCCTTTTAGGCCTCCAGTCTTGCTTCAGCAGACTTGCCCCAGACCCTAGGAAATGGCAGGCAAGACAATTCTAATGGAAGCCTGTTGCAGACTTACACTCTTTGATAAATAAGTAGGTGAGTGTGAGCATGACCGTGTGGCCGCTGTACAGATAGTCCCCACACATGTTGTGAGAGCCAGTGATGGACAGGCCACCGCCAGCAATGAGCTTCATTATTCTCCGCAGTTGGGCTTCCCAGTCTCCAAAAAGCTGGTGGGAAAGAGAAAACAAGATTTATTAGCCCACATGAAGGTGTGCTATAATTACTATTTATATTCAGAACTAGGCTTTGGGATATTGAGATTTATAATAAGAAATATATATCTGGTCTTTGTCCCTGTTCCTGGCACAGAGCTTCTAAACCCTTTGGAATTTCCTAAGCGATAAGAAAGATAAAGGTGTATTTGTTATTCATAACAAGCCATTTTCAACCACACCTGAGTTCACCTGAGTTGAAAAGCCCCTAAGGATGTTTGCCAGAATCAACCAGGTGGTGCGAGGGTTGGAGCTTTGAGTCCACTTCCCCCCACCTCTGGCTTAATCACCAATGGCCAATGACTTAATCAATCATGCCTCCGGAACAAAGCCTCCACAAAAATCCCATGGGAGAGGGTCTGGAGTGCTTCCAGACTGGTGAACACGTGGAGCTATCAGGAGAGGGTGACCCTGGAGAGAGCATGCCTCTTGCCACATACGTTGCCCTGTGCATCTTTTCCATCTGGCTGCTCCTCAGTTACATCCTTTTATAATAAACTTCTAATCTAGTAAGTAAATTGGACTCCTGAATTCTGTGAGTCACTCTAGCAAGTTAATTGAACCAGAGGAAGGGGTCATGAGAACTTCAGAAGCACAGGTGACCATCTGGCCTTGTGATTGGCATCTGAAGTGGGAGAGTAGTCAGTATCTGAGTTCTTTACCTGTGGGATCTGACACTGTCTCTGGGTAGATAGTATCAGATTTGAGTTAAAGAGAGTTGGAGAATTGCTTGGTACCCCCCACACACACACACACCTGGTCACAGGTGTGTTCAAGATGGTTATTGAGAGTAGAGGAGACACACAGGAGAGTCTTTCCTTTAAAAACTTATATTAAGACATGACACCCCCCCACCTTGAAGACTGGCCACTCAATGTTTATGTTCCTTGGGCAACTCTTGGAAAGAATATTAAGTAGCTTCAGAACTTTCCTGAGAAATATAGTATTTTTTATATTTCAACAGATGCTTACCCATTTTTTTTTATTACTCTGATAGAGAAAGACTGACTGGTTTGGTCTTATTACTGCTGGGTGTGTGTGTGTGTGGGGGGGTTAACCCCCCAGGGAAAATTTAGAGGTATATTTTCCCATGCATGGCCTGGAGGACAACTGTTGTATTGCTAAAGCAGCTGAAGATTGAGCAGTCAAATATACAAATAGTGTTTGGTATGTGATTTCTGGGGACCAAAGTAAAACAAGGAACTGGGTAGGATGTACCTTCAATCTTCTGAAATTATATGGATTAAATTGCATGTTTTTCCTTTCAACAAAAGTGAAAAAAGTTTAAGAATAAATTTACCTGTCTCTCATACAAGTCTAGGCTGGTTCCTTAGAGTAATAAATAGCTTGAACAATTCACACACTGCATTTTTCAATTGCTCTGTCAAATGAAATGTGTGACTGTCTCTATTTTATGATTGTCAGACTCTTTTTAAATTCTGGTTGGCCAAGTTAATCACCATGATCATGTCGCAGCTTTTAACTGATAATATTACAGCTTTGGAAAACATGTTCATATAAATATAAATTCATTATAATTTCCCTTTAAAGTTTTTATGAAGGTTTCTAGTTAAGGCAGGCAGGTTGAACACACCACGGAGAGGATATGAATTTCCAGATTCAATGGGATCACTGAATCAGCTCAATAGAAGAAAACAGATCTACACAGCAAGACTCAGCATCATGGAATTTCAGACACACGAGGGCAAAGAAGAAACCCTGAAGCTTCCAGAAATCAGAAACATGCTTCACATGAAAGATGAGAAATCAGATAATTTCAAAAGCAACACTAGAAAACAGAAGGCTTTAGAAAAATGCCTCCAAATTCTGAGGGTAAATAATTTCCAACTTAGAATTCTATACCCAGCCACATTATTAACTAAGCACCAACTAAGGATAAACTCAAGTCATTTTCATATATACAAGATTTCAAATATTTACCACCTGTGTACTCTTTTTTGGGAAATTACAAAGGATATGCTCCACAAAAGAAGGACTAAACACAGAAAAAGGAAGAGGATTTGCTAGAATGGCAATAAAAGGAAGGCTGAAAACTGCAGTCAGCCTAGAAAGTGAGCCTCCCAAATGGGCAAGTCAAAGCTCTGGAGAGCTGTCTTGAAGAAGATGAGATTGATAGAACACCCAATGCCTCTGACTCTATGGCTGGGAAAGTCACAATGTGGAAGTGAATAAGTATATAGAAAACGAATAAAGTAAAAAGCATGGTAATTACTAATTATACAGGAAACAAAATATTGTGCAGAAAGGGAAAATTATAGGAAACTACATGACTTGATTGGGAATAACATTTACAAAACTGTAATACTGTAAGCACTGAATACTGAGTTAAATCAAGGAGAATCCATGTAATTTCAGATGATTGAAGGTACATCCTACTCAGTTCCTCGTTGGAATTTGGTCCCCCAAATCATGGCTCTTCTACCAACTAGCAGTGTGGCCCTGGAGGGAAAATTACACTGGGAAGACAGAACAAAAAGTGTTCCGTCTTGAGAAACCGCTCCACATATTCCGCCCAGGGTTACCTGGTTGCATTCCGTGGAGGCAGGATGGAGTGTGCTTACTCTACTATAACTATAAGTGTGACCTCCCCATCAGTAGGCTTCTGGATGTTTGTTTTCTTAAAGTATATTTTTATTGATTTCAGAGAGGAGGGGAAAGGGAGAGAGACAGAAATATCAATGATGCGAGAGAATCATTGATAGGTTGACTCCTGCACTCCCACTACTGGGGATCGAGCCTGCAACCCATGCATGTGTCGTTGACTGGAATGGAACCCGAGATCCTTCAGTCTGCAGACTATCTACCGAGCCAAACCAGCTAGGGCCTGAATGTTCATTTTTGAAAGAAGAGGTATTTTGGGGGACATTCACATCAACACTTTCTCAGTGGACAGACAGTACAAAGTTGTGAAAATTTAGGTCTCATAGCTACATTAGGATGTGAATTATGGTCTCCTAGGGTCACAGAAAAATCAGTTCTCAGTGAAAATACACCAATTCTTTTCAACTTCTAATGACTGGCTAAGAAATTAAGTAAACTGGCCAAGTCACTTAAGCAATAACCATGCACAGCAAGAAACAGAGCAGAAGGTGGGAATGCCTTCTGAATGAGACAGGCCACTCCAGTACAGTTTGAGCCAGTGGGCCTTTGGTTATTACAAAACAGGTTTCTCAAAGCATTCTTTCAGTGCTAAATCACACCCGGCTCTGAGGGTCGTCTGTTCGCCATCATTCAGTATGCAGACAGCCCGGTGCCCAACCTTTTCTCTTAACTGCTTTGAAGAGCAGGGGCGTTCACTGTGCTTCAGCCCCACTGGCAGGGGAGGGAGAACCTGGGAGCAAAGCTCATCAAACAATGCTGCATACATCAATGGCTTTGGTGAGTTCTGACGAGGGCCTGAAGAGGAGTAGAGATGCTATTTAATATCGTCCTTGTACCTTACTAATGCTTTCTCTTACAGCAGCCCTGAAGAATCAGCAAGGCTTCCTGGGCTGGGAATCAAAGTCTTGACCCTTTGGTGTGTGTAAGCCAATGCACTAGCCACTGAGCAACACCAGCCAGGGCACCACAGGTATGGAGCAAGAATGGTGTGGGGGAACTGCACAAGTGACACAATGTACCCCAGCACTGTGTCCTTTGCCAGTAGGTTCTGCTATCTCCTGCTCACCCTCTCCCCTTTGGTAAGAATAGCAGCTCTTTCTCCTTTACTTTTCGAGGGGACACTCACAAGGGTGCTGCTATTCCCAAACTTAGTGTACCACCTCTGTGACTTGTTTTCCCAGTGAAAGTGCCCCGGCTGTTCAGTGTGGCAATGTGGCCCAAGTCCTCTGGCTCCATGTAGGTACTGCCTGCAAAACTACATGCTACCTGTGCAGTGCCAGTCCCTCGGAAGCCTGGGTGAACCAGGAATTGGGTACATCTAGAGCAGTGGTTCTCAACCTTCCTAATGCCACAACCCTTTAATACTCCTCATGTTGTGGTGACCCCCAATTTCATTGTCACAAATTGAACATAATTAAAGCATAGTGATTAATCACAAAAACAATATGTAATTATATATGTGTTTTCCGATGGTCTTAGGCGACCCCTGTGAAAGGGTCGTTCGACCCCCAAAGGGGTCTCGACCCACAGGTTGAGAACCACTGATCTAGAGGAACTTTTCCTTGAGCGTCTGGGAACCTTACAGAGATTTAATGTCAAGCTATCACTTCCCATTCCAACAACCATGAACAGCCAGCTGTTGCTCAAAGTATTCATTCATTCATTCATTCATTCATTCAATGAATCCACTGAATACTACCACCAGGGCAAATCATTTCTTTTTTTTATTCCCGAAGAAAATTTTCCTCCAAATCAAGAAATTCACTATCATCCATGACAAACCAAGATGGTTTGCTCTTACACTTAGACCACAGATCACACCTGCTGTGGGAATCAAGCGTCAGGGAGCAGGAGAACCGGAGAACTGATAGAATCCTGTCAGTCCCACCCCCACAGCCTTCAACTGAGAAACACACGCTACACACACTGCGTTTTCCCCTCAGCCTGAACTCCCCAAATGACAAAGGCCCGAAACAACAAAACTACATCCTATAGCATGTCCTTGAAGCCTGCACAGGCCAGGCAGTGTGTTTATAAGTTTGATGGATGTTTTAGATTTCCCAACAGCAGTGAGAGGCCCAAAACTGCCCCTTATCATTTCTCATGCTTTCTTAGTGTTACTGGAACAGGCAGTAAACAAGAGGGTGGGGGAGTGGTTCTACATAATAAAACACTGCCCTTTGTTTTTATAGAAATTCCAAATTTTTAACAGAGCTTTCTTATCAATTCCTCATATCCCCTCATGCCTGCCATGTGCTTAGTGCAGATGATATGATGTCCATTTAGATGATCAAAGTAACAGAGAGGCTATTTCTGTTTCACGGCGACTCAGT